TCTTTTTTAAAGGCCTTGTTTGTTTTTAAGTGTGTATGTGGATTTATGAATATGTGTGTGTGTGTTTATGACCACTGATCACAACTCAGCTTTTACTCCTTTAACTTGGAATTCTTTGCCAGTAGTATAAACAATGTACATGCAATATACTATAGCCCTGGATTTTTTGTAGACCAGGCTCATTGCTTCATGTTTTCTCCTGACTGCTGTTACTCTTTTATGAATATGTTATGCATTTTTAGTCTTCACTGAATTTTTCTCTCACCTAAACTTTCATAAGTCAGGCAAACCCTTTAAACTATTGGATTTGAGAAACACAAGTAGAGTTGGCTGAGCCCTCCAGGAGCAGAGATTTGATTAGAAATGTAGTGCCAATGCCACGCTCAGTGTGGCTAGATGGGGAGGGAGACTTCCTCTGTGTATTCTTCTAGTTTATCCATCCATTCTGTGGGTGTGACCTCACACCTCTTACCTGCTAGGCACACATAAAGTGGTGAGAAGATAAGCAGTTCCTGTTGGCAGGAGTGGAGCTCAGAGCCAGACAGGTGTAGAAGCCTGTTTTCCCTGTACAGACCAAAAGTAATGCAGGATTTCGTCCAAGAATTTCCTCCAAGATTAAAGAAGACTCGAGTCAGTTACACTGCTGGTCTCCTGAAGCACAGGAACTAAAAGCCATCTGGTGGAATCGAGTTTGGCAAGTGCAGACATCTCTGGTTATACACACGTGTGAGGGGGCTTGTTATAGAACACTGGCATCTGGGAGAAAGTCCTGCATGTAAATGTTTCAACATTTTTTTCTTGGAGATTTCCTCAGATCTTATGTTATATCCTCTTGAAAATGTAAGGAGTTTAGATATTCTTAAGTCATACTTGTTTCTCTAGTATGTTTCCTATTTTATTTTCCTATATTTCCTGTCATTTTCTGTCTCTGTCTTTATCTGTCTCTCTGTCTTCCTTTCTCTTTTTCTTTCACTTACACATATGCACATACATATTCACAGAATATCCACTGAATAATAAAATCTAAAGGTGGAAACCCTTAAAGACTCTCAGAAATCTTAATTTGTTCTGTCACACATTAAAATCCTTTCATTTGTGTGTGTGTGGGGGGGGTAATGTTACTGGGACTTGAACTTAGGGTCTGGGCACTATCCGTCAGCTTTTTTGTGTGCAAGATTGGCACTCTACTTAAACCACAATTCTACTTTTGACTGGTTGTTAATCAGAAATAAGAGTCAGAGACTTTCCTGCTGAAACATGATCCTCAGATCTCAGCCTCCTGAGTAGCTAGGATTACAGGTGTGAGCCGTCAGCACCTGGCTTCATTTAGTTGTGTGGTTTTTTTTTTTTTTGAGAATTTGTACTGCTGTTCATTTTGTATATTTTTAAACTGATAATTATTAGTTTACAGTAAATAAGCATCATCTATGTGGATAGGAGTGTATATTGACAAACTTACAAAGATATGTTTTTCCTTCATTAAAATCTATTGAAAAAACAAGGGCAGGTTTTTACCATCCATATTTCATAAGTCAAAGGTACATAGTTACCCAATTTCGTGGAAGGTGGCCAGTGGTGGAGCCATGGCTCCTTCCTGCTGCTGCCCCGCCTTCCTCTGGCCATTGGGTATGTATACCGTGCGTGAGTGAGAGTACCATCCTCTCTGCCTCCACTCCCTTCCCTTCCCTATGCTCCCTAGAGAGAAAGCACATGGCATTGATGGGCCAGATGTACATTTATTTTCAATAAGACTTCCACCCAGGTTCTCAACGTTTTTACTGTCTGTGCTAGCTAGATTAAAAAGTGGAACGATTTCAAAGGTGACTTAATCTAGGGATGAAACTTACATTTCATTCCTTCAAGAGGGGAATGGATGTGAGAGGTTGGGATTTGGGTAGTTGTTGATCAAACTCTGTATTTTCTTGGACAGGTGCCTGGTGTCATTCTAACTGTCCAATTCCATGTTCTATGGACTGTTGGGAAATGAAAATCATAGTTGTTTCACCTGTGTGCCCACAAATCAGAAATACAGTTGCAGAACAAAACCCCAAGGAGAAATACTGTATTATTGTAGGATGTAGGTAGCCTGCAGTAGATGCATGCTTCAATTTGTGAACACGAAGGCATGATGCAATTAGATTCTCCTCTGGTGTTTGGACTCAGAATCAGAAAGCTGAAAATGCAGTCTGATGAATGCATTGTACTGGCCACCCAGATTCACAGATGGCATTGTAGCAGTGATAATGGTTTTCTAAAATAAACATACATTAGTATAATTCCAAACAACAAAAAAGAAGGGAAACCTAATTCCTTTGATTTATCTTGTAGCAGTACTGGGAAATTTTGGTCTATATTAAAACCACATAAAATAACTGAAGGCGTGTATAAAGCAATGTTATAATTTAGGCTCAGATGGTTATAATTGGCCTTGTGACAACACAAATGGCCAACAGAATATTTAAAAGTCACACAGGGATGCAGGTCAGTTCTTTTCTCCTGCAGGACTGTTCTGGAGGTTGCTGCAAGGGTCCTCTAAATTAGGGTGATGACCAAAATTGCCCCTGTAAATTTAAATTTAGTCAACATGTTCTCAGGAGCTGGGGTTGTAGCGCAGTGACAGAGCATTTGCTTAACATGTACAAGGCCCTAGGTTTGATCCTCAGCACTGCCAAAAACAATTCTAGATGGAATTTGTACGGGAAGTCTACAGTAACTACTTCAGAAAATGCAGAAACCTAAGGATCCCTTGAGAACACACACACTTCCTAGTTGTCAAGCCAGAAGCTTTCAGTCCTAGGGGTTCCTCTTCTGGGGAGGCTGGGGTTGGGGTGGGGTTGGGCCAGGAGAGAGAAGACAGCTCCTCCGCCCCTCTACCAAGGCTGTGGTAGGGCTTCTGCCTTCATTTTGCCTCTGCCTGCCTGTCCTACCTGTTGTGGTTTTCTGTGTACTGTCTCTAGTCTCCATAGTAGCCTCTCTAAGCTACATTCTAAAGGAGTTGCAGAAGCAGACAGGGAAAGTTAAAAAAGTATCCAAAAAAACTGATAGACAATTTTGTGTGTGTAGTAAAGTACATGCAGTTTATCATGTGAAAGTTCTTTGTAGTAGACATATTTTATTTATTTATTTATTTTGTCAGTCATGGGGCTTGAACTCTGGGCTTGGGTACCGTCCCTCAGCTCTTCAGCTCAAAGTGAGTGCTCTACCTCTTGAGACACAGCTCCACTTCTGATTTTCTAGTGGTTTATTGGAGATGAATCTCACTGACTTTCCTGCCCAGGCTGACTTTGAACCGCAATCCTCAGATCTCAGCCTCCTGAGTAGCTAGGATTACAGGCGTGAGCCACCGGCTGATTTTGTAAATGTGTGACAATTATTTTGGTATGTGAATAAAAATAATTTTATGCCTTAATCAATTTGGAGGGATATACTTTTTCTATAAGCCATACTATTTTAATAATTGGACTTTTGAATGAATTATTTCACAAAGGTAGTCTTTAATGATAGTGAAGGTGGATATGGAAAAATGTACAATTTCAGGAATTTTTTTAAAAAATTTTCACTTTAGCATCTTTCTTAGGCAGTATTTTGGTGCTAGGCTCAAATACTCCAACTTTGCTTTAGGGATTAAAAGCCTGTGGGACTAAAAGCAAAGTCATCAGTTTCTCTAAATCTTACTGTAAAGTTTCCTCATCAGTTATATGAAGATTCTGGTATTACATATGAACCAGTATGGTAGTCAAGATTAATGTAAAACATCTGACACTATTTTTACCCATATGTATTCTTCTAGGTGATCAATCACACTACTGATAAAAATTCCATATTTACATGACCTGAGGGTTTCCTTGGTGCTAATATTACTGGTTACTGTTTTAAAAGTATTAAAGATGCCTAGCTCCATGGCATGTGCTGAACGTACAGTTAATGCAAGATTCCTTTCTTACATAATGTGACCCATAATTTTACCTACTTCTGTCAACAAAGGAAGTTTGAATAAAGCACTCAAACCATTTTACTTCTTGAGATAACTGTGCTAGTAAACTCAAGAAGCCTTGAGCCCAATGGAGTCGGGCTGTGGACAGAGGGTGGGTTTGCCAGCAGAGTGGTGCTGGTGCTAACCTGGAATTGAGTTATCAGTGTTCAGGTCTGTACATCTTGGATAATAGGTTAAATAAAATTTGTCAAGACTACAAATACCAAATCTGTAACATTCAAGGGTATACTTTCCTTTACCCTTCACCTAAAAATGAATTTGGTAACCATGAGCATTTTTTGTTTTGTTTCTTGATGTTTTCATTTTTAAAATCATGCTAGGTCTGTGCGTACATTGCCTTTACTTTCTCTAGTAGTATTGCTTTAAAATTAATCACTAAAAGTAGAATTATTCTTTTAAAGCACTTCGTGTAATTATCAAATCATTTTTAGATTATTATCTAGAATTATACTGTTCTGATTAAATAATTTCAGCTACCTATAGCCAAGAATTTTTACTTTATCTTGTTGGTACTGGGGCTTGAGCTGATGTTTCCTAACACTTGAGCCACACTCTCGACCTTTTTACTCTTTAACTTTTTATCCTTCAGTTAGGGTTTCAGTTTTGCCTGGAGCAAGACTCAGACTTCAATCTATATTACTGGAATTATAGTTGTGACCATCATGTTTGGCTTGTTTTTGAGGTCGGGTTTCACTAACTTATTTCATTGTACTAGCCACTATCTTTGATCAATTCTCTCATCTCCTCCTGAGTAACTGGAGTTACAGACCCTAACCAGAGATTTATATGGAAAGTGTTCAGGGAAAATTAATTTAATAGGAAAAACATGGATATATTAGTGAATTTAAACATTTAATTTTCACGTGTTTTTAGTTCCTCATGTATTTTTGTTTATATTGTTCTGTATTTAAATTTATGATATTGCTTATTAATTTGAACCTTTTCTGGGTTTGGGAAAAATCAGGTGTTTTAATTCTAATCTTTTAATTCTGCTTTTTTCTTTTAGCTCCAGTGATAAACCGATTCACAAGGCGTGCCTCCGGTAAGTGTGACTGCATGACATCATCTTACTGATAGTTGTGCTGGACAAGAAGGAACAGAGAGAGTGGTTGTAGAGTAGTATCTTACTTGTTGATCTCTTTCTCAGAATAAAGGCCTGTCGTGTATTCCTAGGTTAGCACTTGATTGCAGATGCCCTCTAAGTGGCTGTGGTTGAGTCGCACAAGCTGATGTGGGACTCTCACTCCAGTGTTTCTTCCTATTTTCAAGAAAAAGTTACTGGCTTTCAAGTTATCTGATTAACCAGCCAAATTCAGAAACAATGATTAGCAGGTAGGTGCTGGAGACTAGAAACAGTGATGGGGGATGAATTTATCTAGGGGCAGAAAAAACTCTCAGCTTTAAGAACTCTTATCTATGGGGCTGTTTAGAATAGGAGCAAATGGCTTCAACTTTTGACTCCCCAGAGGCCATTGCTATGTTAAATATACCCTACTAACCTACTGTGTGGTGGGAGAAAGCCCTATAACTGGTGCTTCAAGTAGCTTTCCTGGACCAAGTCTCACTGTACTGCCAGGGAAGTATCGTTGAGAGCATTTCTGTCTAGAATAACTTCAGCAAACTGAGTTTGGACACTGAAACGGGTAAATTATTATTGGAAAATTTACTCTGTGATTTCTTCTCCTCTGAAGGTAGAGGACAAATCAAGTTGTATTTGTTTGAGAAAGTTTTAGTTTGTTTTAAATGTAAGTAGAATTGTGTTGAAAACACAAGATTAATGTTTGGAACAGATCATTCTTGACATGAGTAACTTATTTTATAAAACCTGCTGATTTCCACCTGTGCTAAAATATGAGAGATGCTTTCAGGTTGACTTTTGTTTTTTAATTTGCCAGCAGGCACTGGTATGATTTCTTCCTGCTGTGTAGTGGCTAGGTATACATTGATGGGAATTAGGAATGTGCTGTGTGGACAAGGCATCTACTTTGCCATTTTGAGCTTTATTATCTTGAAGCATATTTGCATTTTAAAGGATGAAAATAAGCTCTAGCTTTTGATGCCTTTTGTAGAGTCAGGTTATGTTTATGTCAGTAATGCATGAAATTTGATCTAAAGCAGAGCTTTGGATGAAAATTGTGACCTTGCTGGGCATCATTGGCTCACACCTGTAATCCTGGCTACTTGAGGAGGCTGAGATCTCAGGATCATAGTTTGAAACCAGCCCAGGCAGGAAAATTGTGTGACTCTTATCTCTTGTTAGATACTAAAAAAAACAAAACAGAAGTAGAGCTATGGTTTAAGTAGTATAGCACTAGCTTTGGGACAGTTTCCAGGCCCAGAATTCAAGCCCCAGGAAGGGCACCAAAAAAAGAAAGAAAGAAAGAAAGAAAGAGAAAAGAAAAGAAAAATTATACCCTTTCTGCACAGTGGTACAGCTAGCAAGGAGGATCACTGTGGTATATCTTGTCTTTATGATATGACTTTCTTTCAATGGAAACATAGGTAACAGACTTAGAATGAGAAATCGCCCTTCCTGCTTCAAACTATGATATGTGACATTTGTTTCTGGGTAAGCTCCATTAATACTTATTATACAGTGTATTTATCATTAATCGATGGATCAGGGGCACAATATGTAGGTTAAGTTAGTCATGAAGCACTATAATTTTAAACCTTCCAAATGTGTTTCCACTATATTTCAGCAAGAGTTGGGAGCAAATATAGAAAGAGGGTGGAATGTTAAAAGCAGATCTTGCATTTGTTCTCCCAATGACAGACTAGTAGAAATAACACAGCAGGAAAGAATTCAGTGTAAATAGTACCAAGTTATATTCATGTTATATTCAACAATTAGCTTTAAAAGGGGTAAAGGTGTTACCCCAATAATATAATATACTGCACATGATTGTGAGGATGATTTTGATTATTAGAAGGAAAAGAACTAATTGGTTAGCCCTGTATATTTTTCCATCTTTTGGGGCCAAGAAAACGAAATTGTATCTTGTGCTTTGGACAAGAGAACGGTGATTTTTAAGGAAGAAAAATTGGGATTTGTTAAATTAAATACATACCTATATTTATTTTATTTAAATTTGACTCTGTGTGTGTGTGTGTGTGTGTGTGTGTGTGTGTGTGTGTGTGTGTGTGTGTGTGTGTGTGTGTGTGTGTGTGTCCTGGAGCTTGAACTCAGGGCTTCAGCAAACTCATGCTTAAGGATAGAGCTCTACTTCTTGAGCCACAACTCTACTTCTAGCTTTATAGTGGTGAGTTGGAGATAATAGTCTCACAGACTTTTCTGCCTAGGCTGGCTTTGCATTGCAATCCTCAGATCTCAGCCTCCTGAGTAGCTAGGATTATAGGAGTGAGCCACCAGTGCCCAGCTGACTTTGTTATTTTAATTCTTTTTTGGGGGGGTGGTCCAGTCGTGGGGCCTGAACTCTGGGCCTGGGCATTGTCCTTCAGCTCTTCAGCTCAAGGCTAGTGCTCTACCACTTGAGCCACAATGCCACTTCTGGCTTTTTTTTTTTTTTTCCTTTTGCTTATGTGGTGCTGAGGAATCAAACCCAGGGCCTCATGCATGCAAGGCAAGCGCTCTACCACTGAGCCACCTTCCCAGCCCCTGTTATTTTAATTCTTATAAAATTTATCTGATTTTTTTCTGGCAAAGAACATAAATGAAGACATTTTAAGGAGGAAATTCTACAACTCTTACTAATTTAAGTGACCGAAAAGGAGGTTTAGTGAAGGATATCAATATGAACTTCATTAAAGTAGCATTGTCTGAAAATAAAAAATAAATGATTGTTTACTCAAATATAGTAGAGAAAAAATCATACATGATCATCAGAACCACCTCTGAAGATATCTTCTTTGATAGTTTTATATCAGAAATTCTTTTTTTAGAATTCAAGTATAAACTTTCATATTAGAACTGAATTTAGGGGAAGAAAACAGAATTTGATGCCTGACAGTTTCTTACTCATCTATTGTAAAGTTATAATTCCAAAACTAAATGCTACATTATAATTTAACATATAGTCTAATATGCCATATTTTGTAATGATATGTACATAATATGTGCTGATTCACTGAAAGAGTTGATAGGAGTTACAATATATTTCTCATGTTCCAAATGAATTTCCTTTATCTTTGAGTTTGGGGCTTTTGCTATTTATGCTGCATCTATTAAAAATAAAATGTTGAACGGGTAAGTTTTACTCAGCGTTTTAGAAGCTAATTATTCAGGGTAAAGGCTTGTGGTAGAGGGAGTAGTAGAAACAAAGGCATGGATAACTTATGGGTCAGGTTAGGCTTTGTAAGTACTACAGAACCTGAAGTATTTGTAACTGGCAGATGATACCTGGCAACCTATAATATATTGTATGGAAGTACCTTCCTACTTTAAACAGCACCAGTAATCCATTGTGGAAAGAAAAAGCCTGCTTTTGATCTTAAAAGGAAGTAGAGCTGTGGCTCAAAGTGGTAGAGCATTAGCCTTGAGCAAAAGAGGTCAGGGGCAGCGCCCAGACCCTGAATTCAAGTTCCGTGACCAAACAACAACAAAACAAAACAAGAAAAAGTTTTCATCGTAGAGGTCTTTCACTTCTTTAGTTATTTCCTAGGTATTTTATTTTTTGTGGGGCAATCACAAAAGGAGTTGCTTTCCTGATTTCAGCTGTGCTCTTCTCATTGTTGGCATACAAAAAAGCCATTGAGTTTTGAAGGTTAATTTTATACCCTGCCAAAGTTTTGAATCAGCTGGAGTAATTTAGGAGTGGGAGTCCGTGGGATTCTTTAAATACAAGATCATATCATCTGCAAAGAGGGAGAGTTTTCCTTCATCTTTCTCTATTTAGATCCCCTTTATGTTTGCATCTTGTCTTATTGCTGTAGCTAGGCATTCTAATACTAAATGGGAGAGAAGTGGAGAGAGTGGACATCCGTGTCTCGTTCCTGAGTTTAGAAGAAATGGCTTTAGTTTTTCACCATTAAGTATAATGCTGGCTGTAAGTTTGTCATATACAGCCTTTAAAACACAATACTTTAAGGCACTAGTAATCACTACTTTAAACTACAGAGAAATTATAGATACCTATATACATATAATCATATATATCTACTTATTTGACTCATTGAGTTTTCCTTTGTTTATCAATGCTAAGGATTGAATTTAGGACCTTGATCTTGCTACTACTTGAGCTATTTCCCCACTGCCCCTTTTGCTTTTAGTCTGTTTTTTTTAGACAGGATCTCTCATTAACTTTGAACTGGTATCCTTATGTCTTTATCAGTTGGGTATCTTCTTCTTTTTCAAGTTTGGGATCTTAACAGGAATATCTAAGCTTATTGTTAGTGTTAAAATAAATGGTTTTAATAAAACCCTCAACAGAATGTCTAGTCTTAAAGGTGTTAGTGCTTGGCTCTACTTAAACATGGTTTAAAGCAAACCAATAAAACCCTCAGCTTTGTGCCTTAGTCTATTAGAAAAAAAGCATTAGAGGCTCTTAACACCATTTGATATCAATCTTTAATAAAGGGACCATTTTATTGTTAGTACATCATAGATTTTTAAAAGATTATAATGGCTTTTCTCTGGTTTTGTTTCTGAGTTTGGGACAGGGATATGCCCAGTCAGTCCTGAGAGAGTGCCGCCTTGTATCATGGGGTCAAATTTTAGTCAAAAGATTTTATTTTGGAAAAATGTCCTACTTACTAAAAAATATTTAAAGAAGAGCTCAAGGAGTTCCTTTAGGTTCCATTTCTTAATATGTTTTTCAACATTTACCTTCCATCTCCCCTCGGCACACATGTACACCCTGGTTTTTCCTGGGTCAGAGTCTTCGTGTATACCCAGGTTGTCCTGGAATGCATTTTCTGCCTGAGTCACCTGAATGGTAGGATTATAGGTATGTGCCTCTATGCTCAACTCCACTTTAATTTTTAATTGAACCTTTTAGGAGTCCTAAATACTTGAGTGTGTATCTCCTACAAATGGGGGCCTTCTGTATAGTATCACACTCATGAAATTATGCCTTGATAAAA